GCCCCCTGGGACCCCTGCTCTCCCCCATCTGCAGCAGTCCCCCCAGGACCCTCCACCACCCACGTACCCTGAGTGCCCCCCAGGACCACACAATCCAGGTGACCTATCACCTGGACAAGGGAGAAGAGATTGATGTCATATATATATCTTGACGTTAAAAAAGCCTTCGAGCTGGTATCCCATGATAACCTCTTGGCAAACCTCGCTAACTGCAGACTCAACATCCTGGACAAGGGAGAAGAGATTGATGTCATATATATATCTTGACGTTAAAAAAGCCTTCGAGCTGGTATCCCATGATCACCTCTTGGCAAAACTAGCTAACTGCAGTCTCAACCTCACCACGATCCGCTGGCTGGGGAATTGGCTCCGTGGTCGGACCCAGTGGGTGGTGGTTGAAGGAAGTCAATCGTTGTGGTGCCCTGTGACTAGTGGGGTCCCCTAGAGCTTTGTCCTTGAGCCTATACTATTCAACATTGTCATCAATGATGTAGACATTGGAGTCAGAAGCGGACTGGTCAAGTTTGCCGATGACACCAAACTCTGGGGTAAAGCATCCACACCTGAGGACAAGAGGGCGATCCAGGCTGACCTGGACAGGCTCAGCAAATTGGTGGATGAAAACCTGATGGTGTTCAACACCAAAAAATGCAAGTTCTCCACCTTGGGAGGAAAAACCCACAGCATGCTTATAGGCTCAGCAGTGCTACGCTGGTTAGCACTACAGACAAAAAGGACTTGGGGGTCATGATTGACCACAAGATGAACATGAGCCTTCAGTGTGATGCTGTGGCCGGTAAAGCGAGCAAAAAGCTGGCTTGCATCCATAGATGCTTCTCAAGTAAATCCCAGGACGTCATTCTCCCCTTGTACTCGGCCTTGGTGAGGCCACAGCTGGAGTACTGCGTCCAGTTTTGGGCTCCACAATTCAAAAAGGATGTGGAGAAGCTTGAGAGAGTCCAGAGAAGAGCCACGTGCATGATCAGAGGTCAGGGAAGCAGACCTTATGATGACAGGCTGAGAGCCATGGGACTCTTCAGCCTGGAAAAGCGCAGGCTCAGAGGTGATCTGGTGGCTGCCTATAAGTTTATCAGGGGTGTTCACCAGGATCTGGGGGAACGTCTGTTCACCAGAGCGCCCCAAGGAATGACGAGGTTGAATGGTCACAAACTGCTCCATGACTGTTTCAGGCTGGACATAAGGAAGAACTTCTTTACTGTTCGAGCCACCAAGGTCTGGAATAGACTGCCACCGGAGGTGGTTCAAGCACCTACTTTGAATGCTTTCAAGACACATTTGAACATTTATCTTGCTGAGATCCTATGACCCCTACTGACTTCCTGCCCCTCGGGTGGGGGGGCTGAACTCAATGATCTTCAGCGGTCCCTTCCAGCCCGAATGTCTATGAAATCCCCCCAGTGCCACCCACAGTCCCTCCATCCCAATGCTCCCAGCTCCCCGCATCCCACCACTTCCCCCCAGGTATCCCCCAACCCCCAATCCCTC